GCTGTCACCTGATATCATGTGGTGTTGTCGCTGCCCCTGCTCCCCACTGCTTTGTCGAGTTGTTGCTCACTCTGTCGCTAACTCCGTAAAAATCTCGTAAACTGATCTGATTTCAGTTGTTTAACTGTTTGAATTGTATGCTTGTTTAGTTGCTGCTGTTGTTGTTGTTTTTACTTTTCATACAACAAAATATAATGTGGCAGCAGAACATTGGCAGTCAACAATTGTGCCCCCAAGTGCCAGACAAAATGTGCGTACAACTCTATTTTGCAGTTGATTTTCTATGTGCTGTCACACATGCCATATACACACACACACACATACTACTTCAATATCTATATACATATGTTTTGCTTTATCGCTTGCGAATTAGATAGGCCTGTGTAGATAGGACATTGGAGCGTTGGATAGACAAGCCGACAGCGCGACACAATGTTCAAGTGACACTGACATTTGTTTAGATTTGAGACAACTGATTCTTGTTGCTTTTAATAGAAATGTGTAAACTAGATCGCCTGCAGGTGATTTACTTACGTACGCACTGTATTTAAACGCATACAGATATCCGAGGTATACATACATTAGGGTGGTTCTGTAAAAATCAAAATAATATTTTATTTACATTTGAACCAATTATATCAACCACGAATATTGCTCTGGTTTTGAGGTGCTTAGGGTGCATCACTTAGGGTTCAAATTATAGATTACTAAATGAAGACCGAAAATGTTGAAATTATTATTGTATCAACTAATTGCACAAAGTAATTATTTTTCCAAAGATCTTCTTGCGGCACTCTTTAGTAATTTTTAAGCGGAATCAAACATTTTAAGTACTGTTAACATAGTCAGGCCGTTATAAAAATGGAACTATAACATATCTTTTAATACGATTAATTTTATTTAATAATGCATACTGATATTAAATGAGCGATGTACAAAATTGTATTCAAAATTGTCACCTTTTGCTTTCACACATGCCCTCAGAAGATGCGGTCATTGATAAATAGCAACACGCACAGTTTTACTGGTATTGGAGTCAACTATTGTCTTGAGACTCTGCAAATATTTGTGGGGTATTCAACAGACAATGTTTCCAACTTTGATCACAAGCTGTAGTCCGATGGATTGAAATTTGGACTCCCTGACCGGCTTGGTTTTAAGCCACTGCTCTGGGTGGGTTTTGCCTTGCGTGTTCAAGCAGAATCTTGCTGAAAGATCTTATGCTCTTCAGCAAAGAGAATACTACTTAACTGCCTTTCTACGCCCTAAAACATCCTGTTGGTACACTTTTGCCCTAGTTTTAACCTTTAGTTTTACAGAACGGAAGAGGTGTACCGCCTTCATAGGAGAAACCATAACAGCAGTTTGAATAGTGACTACGTTGCACCTTTGGAATAACATTTTTTGCATCTCTGGAAGTTTTTTTCGTAGATTTTGTCATTTTGCGTATTAAAAATTTTACAACATTGAACTTTTTTTCGTCTCTAAAAAGGATACCTTCATGGTCTTTGACCGCGTGCCTTAGGATGACCAAAACACTTGGATATTTGAATTTTTCACATAAATTTTGAGGTTATGTGAAAAAGGTGTTAAAGTTGTAGATCTTTTCATTACCATTTGTTGTATAACTTTTTTTTTTTATTTATCTTTAATTTCAAATGGGTTTCAACCTACTATGAATTTCGTTCTATTTTTACATTTTCACCATGTTGGTCTATATTGTTAATAGGTCAAAGCAAACACTGGACTGACTATTATATATTATACTCGTATCAGTAGACACTGCATACAAATTATAATAAAAAATAACGGTACTTTTTTCTGTGAATTTGTCCTCGCAGTATGCATTGTAAGCTTTGTAACAGAATTTATGGCAAGACTTAGTTTTATTTTTAGGGTCCCGACGTCTCCTTATGGGTGTTACAATACATACTTCGTGGCAAACTTAATTTACCCTGTGCAAGGCATAAAAATGTGGACTACAAAGAATTGTCATTTCCACCCTCTCGAATTTATGAACCAATTGCCAACTTTGGGGAGTTTTATAAGAATATTTCACTCGCCTTGTTATCTAAAATACGAGTATCACCTTTTCAACTAACTGAGCAGACAGAAACAGCTAATTTTTGGTACCTCAACCATATGCAATACACAATATATTTTATTAAGTCAACCTAAAGGATGAATATATTTAATATATAATGATTGTGCATATAATAATTATCTCAAGGGTTTGACAAAAGTTAATAATCTATTCCACCAAATTTACGGTGCCATCATTATAACCGTATATAGGGAGAGGGTATTAATATAAGAATTTTCAGTGCGATTTTGAAAAACTTTAAAATTTGTATACTGTTAGATATACAAATAAATATATTTATATGTAATTGTGTTAATTTTCAACGTTCTACAGTACAAATAGTAATCTATCTATGATACCATAATGCTGTGGCTTCTACTTAAGCAGTGTAATAAATTTCTACTTGACTTTAATTGTCTTATTGTTTATTAAAACCAATCAATTTTAACGCAATTTGTAGATATATTAAATAAAAGTTACAGCAATATGTTAACCAATTAGTAGCTAAACAATAGACATTTGAAATTCCGCACCTTTTTTATTGGTCAACGAAATGTATACATACTTAAACTGAAAGTCAAGCTATCAATAAATTAAATTTTGATGATGTCATCAAAACAAACTGCATAATATTTAAAAAAAAATGCAATTCATCTTAAATTTTGATGGAGTGAGGACTTTAGATTTTTTTGTACACTTTCATGGACTACGTACTTGGCTTTAAGCACCTCGATTTGTAGGTTTTATAGCCTGACTTCGATTATTTTTGTTACTAAATCATTTAAGGCTTAGAGTGTAATTAAGCTGTTTTTTTTTCTTTGTGGGATCTTGTATAATATTCCAATTATATATTGCCGCTCTACACGGCGGACAATCAGAATCTTCTTTATATGGAGCGTAGATGTTTTAGGAACCATTTTTCATTTCAATAACTTTCTTAATATTTTAGATAATTTAGTGAAAGGTTAAAAGGGAGACATTGTAACTTTGTATTTTAGAATCATCTACATGTTACTGTATTGCATACTTATCATAAAATAAGATTACCACGCTACAAGTGTCGCATCGGTACTTGTGTTTCCGATGCCGAGTAGTATTCGTCAGCGCAATACCACTTGAATACTATTAGTGGAAAGCAAACCACGACAATCGGGTCTGCAAAACTGTACTGTCTATCTGATACTTATAGAGATTTGTTTCTGTTTGAAAAATTTCTGATACTCTCAAGAGGAGGAAAGAGCTCGACCTCCGTTGTTTTGTTGCGTTCTAGCAATGGACTTATGTATCTCGTGTGAGCTTAACAGCCGTTGCTCGATGACCATCTCCTCTGTGACTGAGAAATCTTTCTGACCAACAATAAAACGCGGAAGATCCACTGGACTGCTTTCTCTTAGCAAGAGTCAGCTTGTTGCATTCGAAGAAGTTCTTACTGGACATTGTACAATTAACAATCATGTGGTAAAGCTAAATATCTTAACGAATGCAAATTATCAAAGTTATATATTGTAGATGAAGGTGAGGTAGTAAGATAACTTTCACCGTCATTTTGCAGCTTTTGCAAGACTGAGATTAAAACAACTCGCCAGCCATACTTTCGGCGAATTAGAAGAAAAAGCAGCTCTGCCGAATTATGAGGGTTTTTATGAATAATATATAGAGGTTTTAAGCATCACAACGGACCAGCGATCTAAGCTCTCAAAAGTAGATCGACCTTTTCAACTAACCTAAAATTATGATGACATATATCAAGGAATGGTCATATCATCCATTTTATGTATAAATGGAAGCACCACGCTCAATTTTTTAAACTTAAGTGTCGTATGTCCTTTTCTAAAGTATTTTGGCAACTAGCTTAGCTAGCTTATCCTATAGTCGTTAAATTAATTAACGGTTTCAGTTTTGTGTATATAAAAAAATTTTATTAAGGTAAGCATCCTTCAGTTTCACTTGCTACGGTCACCGTTTGAGACCTACTCGATGTCATATGTATGTATATGGTATACCTATGTATGTGTACCAATGTTTGTATGTACTTTATGAAAAAGAAATAATGCTTACACTATGCGTAAATAAAAGCGAAACACGCATGAACTAACGCTCCTTTAATAGATGGAAATGCAATGAAATGCAAACGATCCCATATTTTCGCAATACGCACACACACTTGCGCACGTGAATTGCCATTAAAGCAAAAATTGCGACATTTATTGCAATGTGCGCTACTTTTAAGTGATAGTTGTTGTTGTTTTTGACTTATATTTTGAATGTTGTTGCTGGCAAAGCGTTGTTATTTATGTAACTTGTTTTTTTTTTGTTTTTGCTGCCACTCAAAAACAAACGTTCGGTGTGGTGTGTGGCGACTTAAAAGGATTTTACGATCGGCATCAAAAACTCGGACGCCATTAACCACAGTTGCACACGTAAATTTACAGCACATGTTACATACAAGTATAGCGGCATGTATTTGCAAGTATTTCAAAAATATATTTACAATGGCGTAAAATGTATTTCACACTGCTGCAATCTCATTGGGCATGCGCACCCCAGCAACGTGTGTTTAATGGGCAGGCGAGCAAACAAAGCGTTCGCTTCGGCAGCTAAATGTCGAGATTGCCACGTTGCCATATTGTCATTTTGGCATTTATCACATTTTAATCCTATCGCATGCGTCTATCGTTGATTTCGCATTAGATATGCAATGCACCGGCGATTACCATAAACGTGTGTAAATCTGTTTATAGGTATGTATGCTTGCGGTTTTGTACGCATGAGAAACAACGCCAAAAAGGTATTTGTGGGCCTTGTGGGGAGGTGAAAGCCAAGTCACTATATCTATAAGCCTTGATAAGATACTTATAGGTATGCCAGTCACTTTAGTGCGTATATAAATAAATCGCAGATATATAATACATCTTACCACACTTTTATATTTAGGTCTACCTTGATGGTCCCTTCATCTTCTAGCTTGTCAGTTAAAAACATAGTTTTCAAATTAAACTGATTTCACACTTTTTAGATACTTTTATTAAAACCGCCGCATTCGCATCACTTTATTTTCTAAAAGAAAAAGTTTTAAAAAAAGTTTATTTTTTGTAATAATATTAAATAAAATATCAATGAATAATGGTTGCGATTTTGAAAACAATTATTTAAGAAGACATAGAGCTTTTTAAAGTAAAACTTCCGTAGTTGTATAAGAGACATAATAAGAACAGGCTTATGCTGCCACGGCTATTACACAATATATTTTTTTAGACATCAAAATCTGTGTAGTTCATTATACGATTATCAGTTTGCTCACCTATTGTTATAATACGTTAACCTCATTAATTTTTTGAGATTTTTATACCTTGAACGGAGTATATTTAGAGCTGACAACTATAGCATATACATAGCTGGCATATATACTGATCGATCCAACAGAAGTCCTTGTATGAAAAACTTTTTTTATTTAGGAAGGTATCTTCACGAAATTTGGCACAGATTACAGATATCGCTACAGTCTCTAAGAAACTTGTTATGATCGGACAACTATGGCATATAGCTAAGTTAACATAATTTGGGTTCAACTAAAATCAGTGAAAGTCTAACCAGTACGTTAATGAGTTTTAATAATGCAAAAACTAAGCATATTGAAAACTCTAATAATATATTGTGGTCAAGTGTCTCTTCAAGCAATCACTTAAATAAATTTCTTTAAGACCATAAAGGTGCTAAGTACCCGCAATCCGTATTAAATCTTCTAATGCATAATATAACTGACCTTTTCTACTAAGCATGAGTGTTGGGCGGAAACTAAAAATTATCTGGCTCTTTGGGTGTGAACGAGTTAGTGGATCATTTTCTGGTTTTAGTACACTAAAATCCATTTTATTGCACTCATTTTGTCAGTATAGTTCAAACAATATAAGGAAATTAGCGCAGAATATTAGAAAAACTGTCCTGTTTGTATTCCGAAAACATTTCCTGTGGGAAATTTACACTCGACAACACAAAACTTAAAAACATTTCCAACAACAATTTTGCACATCGGCTTCTCTTATTTCTTTTCTGCATTTCGCAAATGATTTATGTTGTTGTTGCCGGTGGTTGTTGCCACAGATGCATTAGTGCACATAAAAGTGCTTAGTAATATGTTTTTATGTGTGTGTGCTTTGCAAATAAACGTGAATTATAGCGTCCGTTTCATGTCGCACAGCGGCAAGTGAATCGTTTGAAGTCTGTCCGCTCCGCTTTCGCATGTGCTAATGTTGCCCCGGCTGTTGCTTCAGCGGCGGCACATGTTGCAGACACCTAAGGCATAGATATCTTCAGCAAATAGAAGATATTTATTATTCGTTTTTTTTTATTTTTTAATTTGGTTTACATTTTTTCTCATTATTGACATGCTGTGTTAGAGGATGTGACAACAGCAAAAACACAGCCAGAGGTGTGCGATACGTACAAGCGGAAAATTACCGTTATAAAGCGTATAATTGAGTATATGAGGTTGCATTTAGTAATCACACGAGCTCAAACATGAAATCGTTACTAATATTTACATTTAGAGTATATTTGACAAATGGTATATCCACTATAAGTGACTGTTATGTTATACGAAATTCAAAATTTAAAAAAATTCAAAATTTGTTCATTTTTTTTCTGTACATTTTTTAAGTTGACTTTTTTTTTAAATAATATTTTGATAATAATTTTAGAATTTCGGTTATATCTTCAGTTTTTATTGGGAAAAATGCAAATTAGGGACATACAATTTTTGAACTCGATAATCTATAATTTATTTGTGCGACAAATCTAAAGTATTAACGAATTTTCTACAAAATATAAGTTTTAATTATTTTTGCAAGCATTTCTGCACTCGCTTAAGAAGCCTGTTGACCATTAATCGCCTATCTGTCGATGTGTTTATTTTGGCTTTCGAATTTCCTTGAAACAACTACTTGACAATTGAAATAAATCGAATAATATTGAATGTGTGTACAAATATTCAGATATAACACATACATTGCTTTGCTGCAATCAAAGTGACATAACATAAAGAGGTAGAGTTCCTAATTAAAAGAATCATTAAATAACTATAACTCGAAACTTGAAAACGTAATATATATTATATATATATATATAGTCATACCTCACCAGCGGTGAAATATGAAGCGAGGTATAAAAGTACAAGAGTTTCTTGGCACAATCAAACTAGTGAGAATAGCATCAGAACTTGAGTTTTATCGGTCAGGCAGCTGTATGCTTTAGTCATCCATTCTGAACAATTTGTTCGGAGATTGTACCGTTACCTTAAACAGTAATCCATACCAAATTTTGTGAGAATATCTTGTCAATTTGTATGGCAGTTACATATATGCTATAGTGGTCCGATCAAAAAAATTTGTTCGGGCATTGTATCATTGCCTTGAAGAATGATACATGCAAAATTTTGAAAAGATATTTTCTCAAGTAAAAAAGTTTTCCATACTAGGACTTCAGTAGGATCGGTCAATTTGTAGAACAGTTACATGCTATAGTGGTCCGATATCGGCAGTTCCGACTAGCAGCTTATGGAGAGAAAAAAAAACGTGTGCAAATTTCAGATCGATATCTCAAAAACTGAGGAACTAGTTCACCTATATACAGATGGACAGGCGGACGGAGGGACAGTCAGACGAACATGGCTAAACCGACTCAGCGTTTCCTTCTGGGTTTTACAAACTTTGTGGTAAACTTAATATAGCCTATTCAGGGTATAAGAAGACAGCTGGCTGAGTAGTTTGTCTTTCGACCCATACCACTGCTATGGTGTATATTTCACTACAGGGGTAATATATACGTATTATGTACTTGTCTACAGTTCTTCTATTTATACACTTTATGTTTGCATTAAATTTTCTAATGCGGTTTTTGGCCGTCGTATATATGTATATGAATTTTATATCTTGGTTGCCAATTTATTTAGAACGTAGCATGGTACGGTTATACAATCGAAATGCGACCAAGTTGTAGATAAAATAAGTTTGTTATACATATTTAGGGAGAATCACAATAATGGTAACAATAAAATTAGTGTGATAAAAAGTTTAGTATCCTAATAAAAAGGAGAGACTTCTGAAAACGATAAAATTAATAGGAAAACAACTTTTACTTAAAATATATACGAAAATATATCAAAATATTTTTTAAATTTTGACCTTTAGTAAAAAATCGCAAATAAAGGAGGAAAAAATTCAGAAATTCTTCTTTTTCTACACCTAGTATGTTTTCGGGAATTAAAATAAACTACCGTATTAAAATTTTAAGGGTATATTTATATTGAATATATTAAGAATACACAGTAAGATTTGTGAAGAAAAAAATTAAATTTTTTTCGAATTACACGCGATCTTTAGCGGCACTAAAATAAAAAGTTTCAACTGTCTCCACTGCTGCAGCAATTTCTGCCTTCTCAGAGGATGAAGCCTAAAAAAAATTCTTTACTAGAAGACCTACAGTCGGAAAAAATGCAAAAATTAACAAAATGGCGGCCTTAAGTACTTATTGGTCATTTTTAAATACATTTTCTAGAGGTTTGCTAAGTTCGTAGCAGCAATAACTTCGAACTTCTGAACGACGAGTAACTTTTTCAAGTTTAGAAGCAAAAAGATGTGGCGCAGAACGAAATATGGGGAATACGGTGGATGAGGCAGCAGTTCGTACTTTAATTCGAGCATTAACATGGTACAAGAGTACTTTTTTCTTCGCTAAATGGGGCCGTTTTTCCTGCTAATCATACAGCGTAGTAGAACCCTGTGACCCTTGTGCCCTTTTTCGAGTAGTCTATATAGATCAAACCTTCTGAATCCCAAAAAATGATGACTATCCACATTCTAGGCGATAGACATGCTTCGCCTTCTTCAGAGCCTTCTTCGCCGGCTGTTCCATATTTCGCCTACAGTCATGAAATATGCCGAAACTCTTTCGGATTGTGTATAAACAATGTCAAAGTCGTTACAACGGTTTCTTGCTGTCTGGAGTAAGCAAAAGCGGCTCCCATTACTGACAGATTTCTCATCCCAATATTTCATGCAGGAAAGACCCATGCATTTTTTTGTGGTACCTATTGCCTTCTACCAAAACGAAATCGTGGACTTTTTGTCATATTTCCTCCGTATTAGTCGTATTTGAAACAACTTCACCAAGAAATTTTTGAAATGGCAATTCTATATCTACATATATCTTTATCTAAAGTATACTTCGAGCAGCCGCAACAGTGGAGAAAAGAGTATTATTATTATTTGTATTTCCTATGATATTCCCTCATTGTGTAAAAATAATCGATTAGTAACTGACTGACCCAAATAATAATGAAGACTGTACTATTTTTTTAACATATTCATAGTATTCCATCCGAAAATTCTTCAAGCTTGAACTTTAAGTGTGCGACAGTTTAATGGCAATTTATGCGGCCTTTGCGAAAGAATTGAAATTAAGTTGTGCCATAAAAGTGCGTTTGACAGGCCGAAACACAAATGAACATGAATGCCAATAAAATTTGTTTATGCACTTAAGTGGTCGGCTTTCATAAGGCACTTACACGAACTCATACACACACACGCACATGAGTACAAGCTTGATATTTCACATTTGATCAATTGTGTCAAATTTCAACTGTCAAATGTCATTTGCGGCGTCAAATTCAATTTTTTGCGCAACCGTTGGAAACTTAACTGCAATGCAATCAGACGCACACAAAAAGTAATCTTAAACAAATAAAAAATATGTTAAAATTTTTTTGCGGCATTGTAGCCATGCCATTGTTAAATGTGTACCGTGTAATGGCTGTAAGTGTCAAAAACTGGTCCACTGCAGATTTAAGCACGCACTTAAGCACGCATATAAGTATGTAAGCACTTAAGTATGTGCATATTGCACAGCATTATTATTTGCTGTCATTGTTGCTGTACTGCTGATGACAAGAAACAAACGGTTTTGGCGTTATTGTGGCAGACAGAAAGGTCAAGCACTTGGCCCATTGCAGCTGGCAAACTTGTTAAGTCAAATATTTGTTTAGCAGCAAATTTGTTTTCTTC